AGAACACACCCATCACCCCTTCAGTTCCCAAAGTAACATTTTTATAATTATATATAACTATGGTTTACAAACACCACATACACACTGCTCTTCTCTAATTTCCCTGCAACCACTAATTATATTATTTTGTTCTTTTTCTAAGAAAAACAATGTAAATCAAGAAACTGTTAAATAAGACTTACCTCTTTGTAGTTGTACATAGCCAAATCAGAAATTGCATGGGCATCTGGCACCCTGAGTCTGGAAAACTCAGGAACACAGATTTCTAGAAAAATGGTAATCAAACAGGGAGTGAGAAGACCGTAAAATCAAGACCTATACACCGCCAATTCAAAATAACTGTTAACTGGCTGCATGACCTGTCAGCTGATTTTATTTAGGTCCTCAATAATTTATGCTTGCTCAAAATGAATGTGAAAGTTCTTGAGAGGAATTGAGAATCAGGCTTACAGTGTCACAAACACCAACATATGGATTCTTAATACTGATGCATCTAACCTGAAATAAATTGAGATGTACTGAGATTTCAGGGCTTATTGAAATTGTCCAATGTAAGAAGAGATCACTAGAGATCGCTGTAAAGTATGAGATCTCCAGTCCTGGGGCCAGGTGTTGCCAATTACCAGCCTGGGCTGATCAGGTGGCTGACAGCAGCCTCATTAGGAAGCCAGCCCAGTGCTCAATGTAGTGTTGGAGGTGTGTGTGTTCAGGGAGCACATGGACACAGGCTCTGGCAGTTGGAACAGGAGGTCAGGGGAGGAGGTGACCCAAGGGACCTGTTGGACGCACTGTTGGAAGAGCAGTGTGAGTGCTCACGAGGGGAGAGGTCAGGAAGGTCGGTGACCCAAGGGACCTGTTAGACACCGCTGAGAGAGTCCGTGATCCACTGCTGGGAGAGCAGTGCGAGTATCACACAGAGGTGTGCTAAGAGGCTTGGAGCTGAGGAAAGCTACTAAGGACTGTATATGCTACAAGAACTGTATATGCTGAAGAAGGCTTGGACCGGTGCAAGGATTTTTGCCTACACAGGCGAAGCTGGATTTTTTTTTTTTTACTTTTTATTTATCTTTTTTTTTAATGTAACTTTTTTTAATTTTAGTTTATTCTTTATTTACATGTTTACTTTTTATGTATTTACCTTATTATTTATTTACATATTTTTTACTTATTCATTTAATTTTTTGTAAAACTTTTTAAAATTTTAGTTTAATTTTATTTGGGGCATAATGAGATAAGCAGTTCAATAAGTCAGCACAACTTTAGCAGTGGGGTTCCAGCAAGACAGGATCATTTGTGCAGTCTGTGAATGGTTACAGACTACTTGCGATTTGGAGGAGGTTCTTCCATGGGAGCGTCCTGCAGGTTGAGGTGGTGGTAGAAGTCCAGCTTGGAGTGGCCAGCAATGAGGGGTTGCCGTTCGGGCAAACGATGGGACCCCTTGACTGTTCCTGACCAGAGCGTGTTCTACTATTTTACCATGGTTATTAAAATATTGAACTGTTATCATTTCTGTGCAAATATTTGGGTTTCTTTTTAAAATATACATAAAAATATATATTATACATGGATATGTTTATTATTCAGGGAAATACTAAGGAAAGGACCATTTTTAATTACTGTTGCTGTCTTTGAGTCATTATTTTTTTTGTTCCAGTTGCTCAGTTAATTACAAGTGATAAAGCCTGAAGGTGATAGGGCCCATCTTGGTTTTCTGGGGATAGTTTTTCATTGCAGGCTTTTTGACTCCATACTGTGTTGTAAGATGCTCTAACGTGGCAGAATATTAGAAATAAAAGAAAGATATTATTATTATTATACAGGAGTTATATATCGCCAACAGTTTGTGCAGCGCTTTACAATATGAGGAAGACATTACAATACAATTCAAGACAAGATGGTAAGGAGAGCCCTGCCCGTGAGGGCTTACAATCTAATAGGGAGGGGCAAGTGATGCATGAGGAGGTAGCTGTGTGGGGATGAATTGTTTGGGAAAGAGATCGTTCAGTGGTTAGGTTGAGGTGGGATAGGCTTCCCTGAAGAGATGAGTCTTAAGGGATCGCCTAAAGGCAGTCAGAGTGGCAGATAGTTGGAGAAGTTGGGGTAAAGAGTTCCATAGGATGGGAGAGACTCTAGTGAAGTCCTGGAGGCGAGCGTGGGAGGAGTTGACGAGGGAGCTAAGTCCGGCGCTGGAGTGATCCCAGGTGAGTCTATTACAGAGACCAGGTTTGAGATATAGCCAGGGGCAGAGTTGTGGATGTCTTTGTAAGTGGTTGTTAATATTTTTAATTTTATCCTGTGGGCTATTGGAAGCCAGTGCAGGGATTGACAGAGGGGGGTTGCAGGCACTGAGCGGTTGGTTAGGTGAATGAGTCTAGCAGCTGCATTCATGATAGACTGAAGGGGGGATAGCCTGTGCCGAGGTAGAGGTAGGAAAGATATTCTAGAGAAAAGGCCTAGATATTTTTTGCATTAAATAATTTGACCATAACCATTAAGACAAAACACCCTAACCTTACCACCACTTAAACCTAATCCTGAAAATCATTAAACCATAGCCCTATATCCCCAAAGAGCCCTGGTGGGACCCTACAGAGCCCTGGTTAAACCAAGGTTCTGTAGGTTCTCACCAACACAAGGGCTCTGTAGGGTCTTACCAGGGCTCTGTGGGGTTTAACCAGGAATAGTGAGAAACCACAGAGCCCTACTTTAACCAGGGCTCTGTGGGGGTCTCACCAGGGGCCCTGTGGGGTTTAACCAGGCTGGTGGGACAACCAGAGAGCCCTGGTGAGACCCCTCAGAGTCCTGTTGAGACCCCACAGATCCTTGGTTAAACTAGGGCTCTGTAAGGTCTCACCAGGGCTCTGTAGGGTCTAACCAGGGCTCTGTGGGGTCTAACCAGCTTGGTTAAACCCCACAGAGCCTTGGTGAGATACCACAGGGCTCTATATGGTCTCCCCGGGGCTTTGCTGGGTCTCACCAAGGCTCTGTGGGGTTTAACCAGGGCTGGCGAGACCCTACAGAGCCCAGGGGAGACCCCAAAGTGCCCAGTTGGGACCCCACAGAGCCCTGGTTAGACATGGGCTCTGTGGGGTCTCACCAGCACCAGGGCTCCGAAGGGTCTCACCAGGGCTCTATGGGGTCCCACCATGGCTATGTGCGGTTTCACTAGCCTGGTGAGACCCCTCAGGCCCCTGGTGAGACGCCAAAGAGCCCTGGTGAGACCCCACAGAGCCCTGGTCAAACCAGGGCTTTGAGGGGGCCTCACCAGGGTAGCAGGACTCTGTGAGGTCTCACCAGGGCGCTGTGGGGGTCTAACCAGCCTTGTTAGACCCACAGAGCCCTGGTGAGACCCCACAGAGCCCTGGTATCAGGGCTCTGAGTGGTCTAATCAGGCTGGCGAGACCCGACAAAGCCATGGTGGGAGCCCTGGGGAGACCCTACGGAGCCCTGGTGCTGGTGAGACCCCACATCACCCTGGTGAGATCCCACAGAGCCCTGGGGAGACCAGGGCTCTGTGGGGTCTCACCAGGGCTCTGTGGGGGTAACAAGGCTGGTTAGACCCCACAGCGCCCTGGTGAGACCTCACAGAGTCCTGCTACCCTGGTGAGGCCCCCTCAAAGCCCTGGTGAGACCCCACAGAGCCCTGGTTTAACCAGGGCTCTGTGGGGTCTCACCAGGGCTCTGTGGGGTCTAACCAGCCTTGTTAGACCCCACAGACAGCTGGTGAGACCCCACAGAGCCCTGGTTAAACCGGGGCTACCTAGGGTCTCCACAGGACTCTCTAGGGTCACAGGGCTCTCACCATTGCTGTAGCCTGTGAAGGCTGCCTCTCACCCGGACTGTGCAGGGAGCGTCTCACGGGTTGGAGCGTCTCTCGGGCGGGAGCGTGCAGGACGAGCCGTTGCTGACTACGTCTCCGTCCATCTGCCCCTGACGATCCACCCTCCCAGCCAGATTTAACTCCGCCCTCCCAGCCAGATTCAACTCCGCCCTCCCAGCCAGATTGGGATCCTCGCACGGTGGATGGGAGGGGTGAGATGGCTTCCCAGTGGCTGGTGGGCGGAGCTCCAGAAGACCACTGGCCGAATGGATGGACCGAGGAAACAGATAAGCTCTCAGCCCTGTCGCTGTCAAACGGAGAGTCTCCGTTTGACAGCGACAGGGCTAAGAGCTCATGACATTACCTGGCTGCGAGGTAATGTGACGGCAGAGCAAATTAAGCGGCCGCGAGGCCCTCGGGAGCGCGAGGCTTAAGGCGTCTGCCTAATTTGCCTAATTAAAGAGCCGCCTCTGGGTGAGGGTCCCTTAATCTGGCAGTTTGGAAGGTTTTCTTACATCTGTGGGTCCCCAGCAGGCACTGCTGATTGAGGCCTGTTAAGCAGAAACATTTAAACATGTTCGTAAACATTTACTGATCACTATTATGTTCCCCTGATAAGTCTGAAAAGGGGTGTCTGCAGCACATCTCCACACTCCTCTTCTACACACACACATACAATGACACACACATACAATGACACACTGACAAACACAGTGACACACACACACACAATGACACACACATACAATGACACACTGACAAACACAGTGACACATACAATGACACACACATACAATGACACACTGACAAACACAGTGACACATACAATGACACACATATACATATAGACAAATAGACACACACACACAGACTAGTACCTGCAGCTCGGGACCAGGAGGCAGTGAGGAGAGAGGAGAGAAGGCTCCTCCCACAGTGCAGAGAGTGGCCCGAGGAGGTAGCGTGAGGCTCCAGAGAAGGCACATGGCGGGGGACAGCTGGAGACACAGTGTGGGATGAGCGGCACCGAAGTCAGCACAGGGGGCGGAGCTGAGATCATTACAACAAAAGCCCGGAGCCCGGTCCACTCAACTACATGATTACTGCTGGGTCTGCCTGTTTCAATATTGTGCTCCTCCCGGCCAGCCCGCTTATCGCTACCCGGCGACCCCTGGCAAATTTTCATTCGACCCCGAGGGGGTCCCGACCCACAGGTTGAGAACCGCTGTCATAGGCTGAAAACTGAACTGGCACACCATGCATGGGTACCATACAACTGAGGCTAACCAGGTCAATTGCTCTGGTAATATTTGTCTAAAAAACTTTTCTATGGGCAATCTTTGTTAGATTTACAAAATGTATGAGTTACATTTTCCCATCTTATCAGACTGCTATCTAATGAATATGAGCAGCCTAACATCAACATCAAAAACGAAAACAAAAGTTAAGACAAATAAATGTTTTTAAACTCTCTCTGAATAACATGTACGTACAAGGAAAAGAGTTGTAAAGAATACTGTGCACTAGACTAGTCTATTCCCCTCTGCAATATATGAGAGAAACACAAATCAGCTGATGAAGAGCTCTATGCTTTCTCACACACTGGACAAAACGCTATCTACCTGATGATTGGTATATGTATGGGCCCCGGAACTGCATTGGCTATTTATACACAGCCTGTACCCTCAACCCTACATTGAATAAAGATTTATCTGACTATTAAACATAGTGTAGTCTTCAATTCACAATCCAGAGAAACACAAAGAGATGCAGACATAGAGAATAGCAAAATATTTAGTACTATTGGCAGCTGTATGGCCAATTAGAGTTTGCAGCCAGGGTAAGCCACTTGATTGTCTACTTGCAATATCTCCAGGGATAAACATGTTACCAACAGTACTATCCTGGTAACAGGAAAAGAGTTAAAAGGCAAGCATTTTAGACTGTCTAAAATGGGGCCAAAATGACCAAGATAGTTTTTCGTTTTTTTACTGCAAATGCTAGCATTTTTCACAGATTAGATCTAAAAACATCCTAGTCTTTGATAATTGGCCAATGCCAAAGCCAATGATGATTGGCACTTCATGGGTACATTAATTTTCCAAAACAAGAATTGTGGTAAAACACTTACCAAAATGATTGTTGTACTGCTCCATTAAATCAGAAAATACAAGGCAATCTTCAAAGCCCTATAAAAACACACAGCCATTACACTCTGACAGTGCTAAGCATTGATATTTAACATTTTTTAAAAAATGTTTTACATACAAATCAAGCATTTTAAAATATTGTATATTTAGCAAATGTAGAGCAGATTTAAACAGCAGGCTCATGAGACAGCTTTGGTTTGTCATATGCAATCTGGTCTAATGCTCACAATTTTAATTAAACACTTAGTGTTTTCTTAATAAACAATGTTAAAAGAAGAACTATGAGGTGAGTGCTTTTCACTCACCTCATAGTTCTAGCCGACCTGTGACAATGAAACTGTCACAGGTCGGCTCAGTAGATCGGGAGGTGAGCTAACACATACCGGTGTTCGCTCACCTCTCGATCCTGTCACGGCTCTCTGCCGTGACAGGGGAGGGGCTGGATTCCCCCCTCCCCGCTCCGATCCGCCAGCGCTGACTGGCGGAACGGACGGGGGATGGGGCGGGTACAGCTGGCTCTGCCTCTAGATAGGCAGAGCCAGCTGTCACTCACGCAGCTGAGCGGATCCCGGCACAACTGTTGGGATCAGCTTCAGCTGCGGCATCTCAGTATACCGCGAGCAGCAGCTCACGGTATACTGCGGCGTCTCAGTATACCTCGCGGTATACTGAGCCTAGGGTGACGGGAGGACAATAGTTTGTGTCCTCCCGTTACCCTAAGGAGAACTATGGGGAAAAGCCCTAACCTCATAGGTCTCCTTTAAAGAAGAATTTCGGGCAAAACTTTTAATAACCCTTGCAGTGGGGCTACCCCCTCACTGCAAGGGTTAACAGCTCATCTTTGCCTAGGGCCTAAAAAAAAGTTAAACTCTCCTGATCCTCTAATCACATTCTATATACTGTATATAGATGTATAGATTTGTGTAAAGACGTGAGGATGCTGAGGAATATTGCAATCCTGCAGCGCAGGAGAAGACAGGATTCAGTGACCGGAGAAGCAGTTTGTGTAAGTACACTTTTTTTTTAAGCACCTAGACAAAAGTGAGTTGAAGGGGGTTTAACACCGCGGATGTCAACTGGTTAATAAAAGTTTTTCCAGGAGTTCTTCTTTAAACACTCCTATGTATTTTTCCACACACCAAAAACACTCAAAAAACACAATTTGGCTCTGTACCACATTAACTATAGAAGACTAGAAGAAGTCCCAGCAATAAATTATACAGCAATGCAGAATAATACCATCAGCTATAAAGGACTACAGATCCCAGCAACACATCAATGCAGAATAATATGAAGCTACATACCCTGTGTTGCTCCGAGGTGCCAGCCTGATGTCTCCAGTGGAGGATTTCAAGAGAGCTGTGCGGGGTCTCAGGTGGCTGTGAGAGATCTTAGGAGGGCTATGTGGGGTCTCAAGGGGGCTGGGCGGGGTCCCACGAGGCTGTGTGGGGTCTTAGGTGGTTGTGCAGGGTCTCAGGTGGCTGTGCAGGGTCTCAGGTGGCTGTGCTTAGTCTCAGAAGCAGGGCCAGCCTTTGGGGTGTGTGAGCTGTGTGGCCGCACAGGGTGCTAAGCAGCTGACACAGCTCGCTATAAGCTGCAGTCAAGGCTCAATTCCCCACAAGGCCACTGAGGCCAAGGCGTCAGGTTGGCAGGTAGTAGAGGGGCGGCACAGCTTGCAGCTTCCCCAGATTCCCGCTGCTCTCCCCTACCGGCTGTCAGATCCTGGCTGAGTGGCTCTGTGCGTGGCCAAGCAGTTCAGGATGGAGAGCGGGAGAATCGGTGATATTTAGCGATCCTCTGTGTGCAGCAGAAACACTGGAGTGATCACTCCAATGTTTGCAAACAACTGAGGCACATAGTACTATGTGTCCACAGGTATGAATGAACAGGAAGTGCTTTACATCATGTTCATTCACGTTTTCTGAATGGGTAGAAGCAGCTCAATACAGAGGCTTCTATCTATTCATAACCAATTGATAGTAAATATTTACTAGGGCTTTCCATTGATACAGTGTTGAGGCTTCAGAAAAAGAGATTGAGGTCCCTGTGTCCTCAATCTCTTCTATTTCAAAAGGGAAATGTCAAGGGTCTAGAACCCTGATATTTTACCAAAGACCCCCCAACAGTAAAGTAAATACATAGAAAAAAATAATAAAACAATTTAACACACACACACATTTTATACATGTGCACCATGCACTTTGTTTTAGTAAAAAAGTATCCACTATTTAACATGTAGTCTAGGTTTTGTGTTCTGTTTTTTGTTTTTACTTTTCAAGATGCACTTACTTGAAAAAAAGTCTGCATGACATCCTGGCACTTTATTTCTATAGACTCTATTTTAGTTTGACATTTATTGTTTATCACTTGTTTGCCTACTGTTGTTTCATTTAATAAGAATTTTTATATTGTGCTTACAAGTTTGAGTAAGTTTTATTTTTATCATACTTGTTAATTGTTTTTTTTGGGAGCTTAACAAAATGGGAGGCTTTAAATGGTGCGGGTATTGGAGAAATGGGTGTGGGCACTGAGGGGTGTGGTTACTGAGGGGAACTGTAAAGCTTTCTTGCACAGGGCGCCTAAAGGCCTAAGGCCGGCCCTGCTCAGGAGGCTGTGCTGCATCTCACCAGGGCTGTGCAGGGTCTTACCAGGGTTGTGCAGGGTCTCACCAGGGGTCCGGTTGGTCTCGCGGTGCGGTGTGGTTTGAGGAGGGGATGTGCGGCCGGCGCTGTGAACAGGTGCCACGGTTCACAGGGAGGCTACCAGGATCCCCGCTGGCTATGTGTGAACACTGCCTGCAGTTTAAACATTTAAAGCACTGGTATCTGCACTTAGTATTAGGGCATTTTCATGAGTATGAGTACTCATGAAAATGCCCACTATCCACACCAATACCGATATCAGTATTGGTGCATCCCTAGTTTATTGATTTGTAAATTTGCAATATACTTTGAAGTGCCAACAATTGTTGCAGGGTTTAAAGTGTTGGTTTGTAGAAGTGGTCATGGAAGAAGTCAGGGAGGTTCCAAACACAGATCTGAGAAGCATTTAGTGTAGTGGCTATAAAGTGAGAGAAGTGAAATTAGTCCGGTGGACCCCGATCCTTTTGGGGACCTGCCGGAACAGGTCCCTCACAGTAGTAGGTAGGGGGCTCTCCTGAAGAGAGACCCCCCTCGGGTGGGAGGAGACAGAGAACCCTATATTAGGGCACAGAATCTCCTCCCCACATCAGGAAAAGGCCCCGAAGGAACCTGCACCCAATGCATCTGTGGGTCAAAATTTACAAAAACACGAAAAGTGCCAATCGTGCATGCAGTGCAATAAATAAATAAAGAGTGCCAGTGCACCACGCTGACAGGCCCTAGGGGCCGGAGTGCAAAAATATTGCCTCGGACTAGCCATAAGGCCTGTCACAGAGACGTTGTGCAGAAAATGCAAGGTGGTGTGTGACCAAGTGCATCAGTGACTCAATGTGGGCTCCCACACCCAAGTGACTTTCTGAGTACCCCTGGGATGCCACCCCCAGGGGGCACAACACCACGGGCTCTGCCGCCTCCCAACCCTCCAGCCAGACCAAGCTTCACACCCATTCCCATCAGAAGGTAGTGCCATCCGGGATCCATCCCTACCACCGGTGACAAGTCCAGCATAGCCAGACCAGAATCTAACTGGAAGGGACTTTACCCCATCCGACACCCACCAATTACACCAGAGGGTACTAAGCCACAGTCCACCTTTCTACATAGGCGACCATGTCCTTTCCCCTCCGGCAACTGATAAGAACAGATACTACACTTGATCTTAGCCAAAAGGCAGAGAAGCGATTTTGTCACCCATTTTGCTCTAGTTCACAGATATCATAACTTAGTACAACTTAGCATACATTAATAATAATATGAAGAATGATTACTTTAATCTTAGAATTAAACTCACAGCGTTCATTCCTTGTCCATAAAATGGCACCATTGCATGAGCTGCATCTCCCATTAGAACACATTTACTATCCAAGCAAAATGATGAGCACTTTACCGATATCAAAGCTTGCGATGGCAGCAAGAAAAAATCTGTTTTCAGCTTGTCCCTTAGAAAAGAGAATGGAAGAATATAAAATAATAAAAATTAACTAATACGCAGCATTAAAAGATCACTTCACTTTTGCTAAAAATAATATGCATTACTGCTACACAAGTTATTTTGTAACTGAATGTCATAAAATCAGCTTTCCATGTCAATACGCAGGCAAACATGAGGCTCTAAACCTCAAAGAAAGGTATGGGGTTTGCTAAAAATAATTACAATATATAAAGTCCATCTGAAAGGAACTGTTTTATTGTCAACAAAGCTGGTAATTTTCTTTTCCTGACTTTTTTTCAAGGTACCCCCACCCCCATGTATAAGCTGACATGGAGTAGTCAGAAATATGTATTAAAAGAGAACTATAGCCAAATGTATTTATTTATTTTTGTTAGCTTTAGTCCTCTTTTGGTTCCAAGAAGTGTATTTACTAATGTATTCCAGTGACCCAAAGTCAGTATCTACTAGGCTACTGCCCGCTATTTCCTGAAAGCAAAGAGATGCACCACAGTCGGGAGCCACCCTGCTGCCTGATTGACAGCTGGCTCTGCCACTCTTGAGCCAGCCAGCTGTGCCCGCCCCCTCCCCCATCTGTCCCTCCAATGAGCCCCAGAGGAACAGAGAGGGGAGGGGGAATCCCTGCAGGAAGCAGTGACTGACTTTTAGACCCCCTAATGTCACCTTTCCCCTTCACTGGATTCAGCTGCTGAGGAAGCTGAATGTCAACACAGCAGGCAGTGACTGGGAGCAATAGCCAGCCACTTATTGCTTATTTTAAATTGCACTAGCAGGCTGGCTATTGCACCTGCCCACTGCTTGCTGTCAATCAGCAAAGGAGGGAACTGAAGGAGAAAGTCCCCCATCAGGTCCTCTTCTGCTGATTTGACAGCAGGCAGTGGGTGGGTGCAATAGCCAGCCTGCTATTGCAACTTAAAATATCCAATAGCAGGCTGGCTATTGTTTCCAGCTGTTGATTGGAGACTTGACAACGGCGATAGAACACCTCCAGAAGAGAAGGAGGAACGGGGGAGAAGAGAACGAAGTGACCAGAGAAGGAGGAACAAGGTGGGCAGAGAAGGAGAAATGGGCAGCAGCGGAGGTACGAGGGGGAGCAGCGGGGGAATGCAGTGACAATCTCTACTCCCTGCTGGTGCTGGTCTGTTTTCCCACTGCCTCTGCCGAAGCAGGCAGGGAGAGCAGTGGTGATTGAAAGGAACACAGACCGCTGCAGCCAGCACCAGTGGGGAGGAGAATGTTGAAGAAAATTGGGTACCGGACGAAAATCATTTCCGTCCCATTAACTACTATTTCATTTTTATCACTAAAAAACGGCCAAAAAAGGGTGGCAAAATTTGCAGACAAAATGAACACTGCTTGAGAGCCCGCACAGCCTCCTCAGAGCCTGCACGGCCCCTCCGAAACCCCCGCAAAGCCCTCCTGAGACCCTGCAGACATCAGGCCATGAACCAGGAGGAATACAGGGTATGTAACTTCATAGTATTCTGCAATCATTGCTGAGATTGGTAGTCTCTCTACAACTTGGAGTCAGTGGCAGATCTACCAGGCTCACAGCTGCAACCAGGCCCTGTCGCTCCACCACTGACTCCAAGCTGTAGAAAGACTACAAATCACAACCCGGGCAGGAGGAAGAGGGCCCTGGTGACCGTCGACATTTCCACCAAAAGGCCCACCGAAATCTTCAACACTAGGCCCATGATGCTCTTAATCCGGCCCTGGGGCCTAGGCCTAAAGCTGTGTAAGGGGCCCCAGAATTTCTGATGGCTGCCCTGATCAACGGTTCATGACTCTCAGCCCTCGATCTAAGTATTAGGAAAAGTACATTTTACTCTCCCAATACTTCTCCTTTAAGGACATTTGTGCCTGCTTATCTTGAGAAGGATATTTGTCTACCTTAATAAGGACCTGTCCACATCAATAGCCCATGTTTTAATGCCCATAATACTTTTTGGTGACCTATACCACAAATCATTTTTACAATTGTTGCTCTCCCTGTCTAATCTAATGTTAGAGGTCTATAGGTGGTGACAGTGGTGCTGTTATACCCTAAAACAAAATCAGGTTCAGACCTATGCATAACAATTTTGAACTTTATGTAGGAAATAAATGCAAATAGAAGTTTATGTATCAGTAAAATACATACTCTGCAAATTAAAGATATAATAAGATAAAATATTTACTCTCCAATTAAATCCACAGAGTCCGGGAAATATGTCTTGAAGAAATGTAGCACTTGGTCCTCTGTACGTAGCTTTTCAAAGTCTTCAAATGGCATGAAAAGAGTACAAGTAAAGGTTTTATCCTGAAAATGTATTAATAATAAAAAAGAGTTATGGAATAAAGAGATGAAAAGTGTATATGTGCTAAAGGGTATATTTATATATGTTCTGCTCTGCAAACATTTTGTAAAAACACTCTTTGACCCAGAGAAAATGGATCTGATAAATGGAAAATATGCAAATAGTGCAAATAAGAGTTGCCACCAGTGGTCTTAAAATAAGTTTTGGTAATAATGGATCTATCGTCATGATCAAGCTCTAAGTCATGGAATATCAATGTTTGGGTATCTGCAACATGGGTAAATAATAGGCTGAACACATTTTTATTAAATGTACATGTGGATGTTACCTATGTGTTCTGTATGCAAATGCAGTCAGCCTAGGAAATGCGAACTCCTCCAGACTGGCATCAACCCATCAAGCGTTTTGATTTGTAGTGCTCCTCCCAAGAGACAGCCCTCTGCTTATGTCAAGGCTGAGGACTCCTGAGGCTGCTGTAATGTTTTCAAGAACATATGTACGTGAAGATATTACAGCACCCTGTTGGCACCTCCCATCAACCATGATCTGTCTGCATTGCATAGAGAAGCACAGAGACACAGTGATTACATTCATGGGTTTAAAACAAGGTATGTGATAGAACATTTTTATTTAAAAATTGCATTAGCAAGTTGATGGGAGGGGGATACAGGGGAGAGAAAATGTAAGCAGAATAAACTTCAGCTTTAACATACACTGCACACTCCATTGTGAAAAGTATCTGTTCTATAGTCTCTTCAGGCAGTTCATTTTTTGGCTGGCTAGGTCAGCCTGGCACACTGGGGGTGACAAAATACTCAGTGGTTATCAGCATTGGGCACTCGTTCTTAGGAAGGGAAACCCCTGTTTTTCTTGAAGCATCCCCCAATGTTGCAGGGCACGTGGGCTGGTGTCAACATAGCAGGGGGGCTGCAGACTTACAGCTCGCTTGCTATGGGGTTACCAACCTGCATGCCTTGGCTGGTTAGTTCAGGTAGTGTTTTTTTATTTTGTATAGTAAAAAAACAAACAAACTGTGATGATACACAGTTTCAGTACAAAGGACTGCAATAACTGGATTCAAGAATGAAAGGACTTTAAACATTTTAAAAATAACCTCTACTGCACTTTAGTATTTTATTTATCAGCTGCCTGCATATAAAAATAATTGCATGTCATAGTTAGAGCCAGCCTGTGACAAAGAAGCTGTCGCAGGTCGGTTCTATTGGGCGGGAAGTGAGCAAACGCATACTGTCGCTCGGTCACTTTCCGATCATCTACCTGCAAAGAGTGGTGACTGTCAGCCACGGCTCCCCGCAGGGATTCCCCACTCTCCTCTCCAATCCTTCAGCGCTGACTAGAGAAACGGACGGGGGAGTGGGCGGGTACAGCTGGCTCTGCCTCTAGATAGGCAGAGCCAGCTGTCATTCACGCAGCTGGGTGGATCTCGACTATTGTCGGTATCCGTCCCGGCTGCGGTGCTCTCGTGGGCAAAAGATGTGTATCTAAAACCTCTGTTTTTAACCTTAGCGGTTAGACAGGTTTTTTTGCATGCTGGCTGGTGAGTGTGCTGGGAAACATTTTACTGTTGTACTGTATAAAGTACTTCCATGTGCACCTTGCTTGAAAGCTGGCTATGAGTTGATGAGTGCGTTTGCCATTTGTTTTGCTATACTGAGCTTTGGGTCACGGGAGGAGGTTAGTATATGTCCTCCCGTGACCCTAAAGAGAATTGTGGGGAAAAATACTTACGCAATAGTTCTCTTTTAACGATAACTATCTGGGACACACTGATTAATGTGTGGAGCACATGGGCACTGAATTACTACTATGAACTTTTGATTGGACATTTTATATATGCATATTATATGTTTTTATATATATTTATAGTTAATTATTTATATAAGTATTCATATCATTGTTCACATAATT